TGCCTCCTTGGTGCGTCTGAGCAACTCTCTTTTACTTCCACCTGAATTGTGGGCGACGCATTTCACATTGGTAGTCCTGTCACCTTATTACGGCAAAGCCAAGCCGACCTACCTGTGTTGCTCATCCGACTTTCCTCCTCCACACCAAAATTTTACAAGTTTTTAGGGTATGAAGTCACTCTTTGGAGGGGGAGAGGCCGGTCTCTGAATCACTTAATTGTAAAGCCGCGTTGGATCTCTCCTGTAACGTGCCACCACTTGTTTCCTGCCCCTGTCAGGGACGCCACATCCCGTTCTGTGCACAGTGTGTCCTTCTCGGGAGGAAGAAATGTGCAAATGTGCGCAAAGAGACTTCACCAAAAAATGTTGGGCCCATCTCTGAGGTAAAATGGCCTCTTGTAAGGACATTTCCTTTTTAGCTTGAGTTCGGTCAAGGCGCAATGGATCTCCGCGAGGAGGTTCCATCAAACAGGTAAAGGAACAGGTAGTTCTTGACTCGCAACCAGAGGTGGTATTCAGCCGGTACAGACCAATTCGAGCGAACCGGTACTGACGACTGTGAGTGGCCCCACCCACCCGCCCCTGCGTAATGTCGTCCTATTTAGCCATGTTTTCAAGGCCGGGTACATGCGTGGAAGGCCCCTGTGAGAGCAAAATGTATGCGCGGAAGGCACACACACACGCGAAGCAAGCGTGCGCACACGGGGCAAACCGATGGTAAGAATATATGAAACCCACCACTGCTTCCAACCATCCATTTAGTGACTGTTCCAAGTTACAACGGCACTGAAAAAAACCTGACAGGACTGGGTTTTTTCACATTTAACCACCGTCGCGGCGTCCCCGTACTCACGCAATAAAAATTCAGATATTTGGCAACTGGTTCATATTTATGACGGATTGCCGTGTCCCTGGGTGATCCCGCGATCCCGTTTCGCGACCTTCTGATGAGCCGAGTTCACGGGGAAGCCAGATTCGCTTAACAAACTGTGGGACTGAACATCACAACTGTCATTCACTTCACAACTGCGGCAAGGCAAACGGGGGAAAAGTCTCATTGAACGACGGTCTTGCTTAGCCGCAGAAATGTTCAGCTCCATTGCAGTCGTAATTCGAGGACTACCTCCATTGGCTTTAGATGCTGAAACCAGAGCGAACCAAGGTATACTTTTCTCAAGTGGGACAGTTTTCAAATTCGGTCTCTTCCACCCCAGATCGTCTCTTTGGTGCCCGTTAAAAAAAATTTCAATAAGAAAGTTGAATCCGACTTAAAAATACGGAAGCCGCCGCAAAAAAACCACAAAAAACCCAAGTTATTTTTTTCTATCTATCTGGGTCTGGCATGAAGTGGCCGAGCCGAGCCTAATTCTGAGGCACGCTGGGTCTTTGATCTTGGGAGAAGGTCTATTGGTGTGGTCACAGTTTGGCCACGAATTATTGGCGCGTGACGGGCACCTCGGTGTAAGCTGACCCTCAGTGTGGCTAATTCGGGAAGCGAATAACACGGCATTATTGTAGGAAAAGGCCCCTGTCCCCTTCTTCCATGGGATCCAGCAGCAGAGGGCAGAGGAAGCGGCAATGGGGTGTGGGTGGGGTCTTCCTCTGTGCCTCCCAGCCCTTCCCCAGCGTCTAGCCTGCGCCGCAAAGCGCTGCGTGGGAAGACTCCGTCAAGAGCCCTGTTGCCAGCGTGCCTTTGGCAGGAACAAACAATTAAGCATAATTGCTCCATGCGGCCTCACGCCTGTTTAGATAACACCTGTCGCTGTGCCAGGTGGGCAACGCCCTCCCTGGTTAATTATTTCAGCAGACGAGGACCAGCCCAGGAGTCCCTGAGGCTCGTGGGCCTGGAGGACGCCGGGAATACGCACAGGGCAGACACCGCCTGCGCCAAGCCCAGCTGGGCTGTTCCTCCGGGCTGCTTTGGGAACCGAGGTGAACCCGGACTCCCACCTGCGGTAAACGGGAGATGCGTCTTTCGGCGAGGTTCCCCCCCCTGCATTGCGCCATCGCATGGTGACGCTGGCTGGTTTGTGACTTGCAGGAATCCAGCTCAGTTTATTCTGCAAGTTATCAGTCGGTGTGTCAGGCCTGGAAGCCATCTTTGGCATTGAATCTTCAGGCCTGCTGCATTTACTACTGTGGGAAACTGGGAGGGAGGGATTGTATGGAGCAGGGATGATATGTAGTCATAATAACATTCCTTTCTTAAAGAGTCAAGGACATCTTGCCCTGCACCTGGAAGGCTGGAACTGGGAGGCATCTTCAGTTGGGATTGTGCATTGATTAGACCACGTGATGGACATGTGGGTGTAGGGGAAAGGACTTGGACTTTCTTTTGGGTGGGGAAAACCTGGAAGCTTTCAGATTCGGGTTATCCCAGGTGTGCCAATATGACATCTGTAATAAAATGGCACTTTGAGGAACTTCAAGCCTCGGAGGGTTTTTTTGTTGGGGGGTGTTACTTGGAACCCTGACATGCGGTGGCGGGATTCAAATTTTTTTATTACCGGTTCTGTGGGCGTGGCTTGGTGGGCGTGGCATGGCTTGGTGGGCGTGGCAGGGGAAGGATACTATAAAATCTCCATTCCCTCTCTACTCCAGAGGAAGGATACTTCAAAATCCCCATTTCCTCCCGATCAACTGGGACTCGGGAGGCAGAGAATAATTGGGGGCGGGGCCAGTCAGAGATGGTGTTTACCAGTTCTCCAGACTAGTCAAAATTTTCGCTACTGGTTCTCCAGAATGGGTCAGAACCTGCTGAATAGCACCCCTGCTGACATGGCGTGGCAGGGTTGAGTGATCGCTCCGTCTTCTGGGCCCAGACCAGAGATTTATTGGTTTGATTTATATATTGGTTCGATTTATATGCCGCCCTTCTCCGGAGACTCAGGGCGGCTTACAATGCGTTAAGTTTAAATAGGGGACCATCTGCCTAAGATCAAGGATTGGGTACCCCGGTTGTCCGAACACGCAGGAGCCAAGATGGAGGTGCATGGATTGACATTGGGGCATTTGAAGCCCGTGTCGGATACCGTCTATAATATAACGAAGCAGTGTGAACCGCCGTACCAAGCCAAGCGGCAACACAACTGGCGCTTTCTTCAGGCCCTGCACACAAACACACACCCCATTGTGTAGGCTTCGTACTGAAGAGGCAGCGCCTCTCTTCTTCACAAGGATGCCTCTGTGCAATGGGGAGAGAGAGGGCACAAACAAGAGAAGAGACTGGCGGGACAGGTTGTGCTCTCTTTAGCAAAGGCACCAAGGGGAAGATGGTGGGGACGGGCAGACGGAAATTGTCGAAAGACACCCAGGGCTTGGGGTGGAGATGCCTTCGCACGGGGCCAGGCCTGCCGTGAGCTCAGCAGAGGTGCCGCAAGGATCAAGAGAATCTTTTGTTTCGAAGAAAAACCAGATAACACTTTTTATTAGCGTTTTTTTCCAATGCAAGCGTTTTTAAAAAATGAAAGATTAAAAAAAGAAGTTAAGAGTGGGGAAAAAGGGACCCATACATTAATTGCTCTCTCAGTCCTTCCCCTCCCTGTTTAACGCTTTTTCCCTAAATGCATAAATCATCTTTTTTTTTCTTTGTGTGCAAACAGTCCATATAATTTTTTTTTAAATGATCCTATAGCAGGGGTCCTCAAACTTGGCAGCTTTAAGACTTGTGGACTTCAAGTCCCAGAATTCTCCAGCAGCTATACTCCCAGAATTCTCCAGAAATGAGGTGAGGGGGGGGTGTCTCTGAATCAGGCATAGTTATGCTGGCTGGAGAATTCTGGGAGTTGAAGTCCACAAGTCTTAAAGCTGCCAAGTTTGAAGACCTCTGTAAGACCTAGCCATGCCAGCCAACCAAGCTGCTGGGAAATGTAGTTCAGCTTCAGCCCCAGGTAGAGGACTACAAATCCTGATTGTCAACTCTCCCCCCTCTGCTGGGGGATTCTGGGAACAAAGTCCAACTTGACCTTTGTCCTTACGCACCTCCCCACCCCACCTCCAAAAGCATCATTTATAATAAAGATATTATATAATTGTAATATAATATAATATAATATAATATAATATAATATAATAAGATATGATGATATATATATGATATAATATAATATAATATAATATGATGAGATATATATGATATAATATACTATAATGATATAAGATACGCTATGATATGATATATGATGTATGATATGTATAATATAATAATATAAAATATAATATAATATAAGATGATATAAGATATCTGATCTGATCTGATATATGATCTGATACATATGATATGATAATGATGCAATATAAGATATGATATATGATCTGATATAATATAATGATAAAGATGTTATGATATATGATATGCTATATGATTTTATATATATGATATAATATGAAGATATGAGAAGATATGATACATGATATATGATATATGATATATAATATAATATAATGATATGATGATATATATGATATATGATATATATGATAATGATATTGATATAACATAATATAATATAATAATAATATAATGAATGATATGATATGATATATGATATGATATGATATGATATGATATAATATAATATAATATAATATAATATAATATAATATAATATAATATAATAAATAATTTATATTAAAAAATAAATATTTTTTAAAATAAAGAAAAAAAAGACAAAAGCTGCCGGCGGTTAGAGAAAGAAATAAAGTGGACCGAGCCATCTCCTTTTATTTCTCCTCTTCCCCCCGCCCCTGCCCCCACCCCCCCCCCCCGCGTCCAGACGGAGATGGACCGGTCCGTGCCGGCCGGCTCCGAGCCTGCGCGCTGTGTGCCCCGCGGCGCACGTGCGTGGGGGGGCGTGTCCCTCGAGGGCGGGAGGGAGGCAGCGAAAGGGCGTGTCCAAACCCCGCCCCCCTTCGCCGCCGCGTCTGGCCGTTGCCCGCGCGGGTGCGCCTCCATTCGCCGGCGGGCGCGCGAGTTCTGCGGAGGCTGCGCGCGCAGCCGGGCGGGCTGCTGAGGCGACGGCGGCGGCGGCGGTGGTTTCGTGAGGCGGCTTTCTGAGGCGACGGCCGTGAAGATGATGCTGGGCGACCCGGCCTTGGAGGAGCCTCCTCCGGCGGCGGCTTCGGACCTGCGGAGCGAGCTGGGCTCGCACCTGCACCTGCTGAAGGGGCTGAACGTGCGCTTCCGCTGCTTCTTGGCCAAGGTGCACGAGCTGGAGCGCCGCAACCGCCTGCTGGAGAAGCAGCTGCAGGCCGCGCAGGTGGGCGAGCGCGAGCGCCGCCTCCGCTACCGACGCTTCCCGAGGCACCAGGCCGTCCAGACCGACCCGGAGCCTCCGCTCGGGCCTGCCTCCCTCGCCCCCGCCCCCTCCTCGGCTTCTTCATCCTCCTCATCCTCGGCTGCTTCTTCTTCAGCCTCGCCTTACGGCCGCCTGCCCGGCACTATCTGGAGCTACACCCAGGTGCGCCGGACGGGCGGAGGCGGCCTCGAGACCCTGCAAGGGCCCGGCGTCTCTTGGGTCCACCCGGACGGCGTGGGCGTCCAGATCGACACCATCACGCCCGAAATCCGCGCCCTCTACAACGTCCTGGCCAAAGTCAAGCGAGAGAGGGACGACTACAAGGGCAGGTGAGGGTCGCCGCGTGGCCTCCTTTCCCTCCAGGCGTGTTTGGTGGGGGGAGGGGGAGGGGAAGCTTGCCATCTATGGAACTGGGGTGGTGGTGGTGGTCTCTCTTCCCCCCCCCCATAAGGGATCGCTACTTGGCCTCCTTTTCCTTTGTTGGGGAGGGAGGAAGCTCACATAGTTATAGTCCCCCCATAAGGGATCGCTGCTTGGCCTCCTTTTCCTGCGCTGGTAGGGGAGGAGGGGAAGGAAGAGAGCCCCTCCTCTCCTTCTAGGTAGTGGTGGTGGTGGTGGTCACCAATCGGGCTCCAATAGGTCGGAGATCGCTGCTGGGCCTCCTTTTCCTGCTCTGGATGGAGGGGGTGGGCGGGAGGGCCGAAGAGCCTCTCCTTTCCTGCCTGGCAAGAGATTTGCAGGTGTGCTAGGTAGCAAGACCTCAGGGTCAAGGGATCGCTGCTTGGTCTCCTTTCCTGCCCAGGAGGGGGAAGGAAGGGAGCCCCCTCTTTTCCTCCTGGGTGGTGGTGATCCCCCAGTCGGGGGTCTATAAGGTCAGAGATTGCTGCTTGGCCTCCTTTCCTACCTGGATTGAGGGGTGGGGGAAGAGCCTCTTTTTTCCTGCCTGGCAAAAGATGGGGGGAGGGAGTCTCCAATCTGGCATCCTGGGATGCACTAGGTAGCAAGTTCTCGGGATCAAGGATCGCTGCTTGGCCTCTTTTTCTGGGTGGGAAGGGGAGAGGAAAGGGAGCCCCCCCTCCTTTCCTGGGGAGCAAGAGATAAGAGGGGGGTGTATCTGAATCAGACATCCCTGGCTGTAATAGGGAGATAGCCCCCAGAATCAGGGATCGCCGCTTGGCCTCCTTTTCTCTTGCTGGAGGTTAGGAAGGAAAGGAGCCGAGGAACCAGGGGCGAACATTGGGGAGGGGGTCCCATGACCCCTGCTGAATGAGAGAGAACCCTCCCTGCAAGGTCCTGAGAGTCCAAGGGTATGGAATGAAGCAGGGAGGGCCTTGATGGATTTTTTTGGGGGGGGGGGGGGGGAGGGGGGGGGGGGGGGGGGGGGTGTTGCGGTTGCTGGGCAAAAGGCAGGGACAGGGCTGACCCCTCACCCCACCTCCAGAAAGCAGCAGTCCTTGGACTTTGGGACTTGGGTGGATGTCCCTGGAATGCTTGAGGGGCTTAAGGCTGGGAGCCTTGGCTTCTCTGCAGATACATTAATGGGGAGGGGTGAGGCCCGGCAGGAACATCTGTCTGCCTCTGTCCAGGCCCAGGAGGGGGGGAAGGGGCTTCTTGCTTCTCTGGAGGGGGGAGGGAAGGTTGAGGCTGGCCAGAAGCAGAAAATTAAGGGGGACTGAGGGGGAAGGAGAGGGGCTTCCAGGCAGAAAAAGGGCCTGCGGGGGCCCCTCCCTGTAGCACCAGGCCCAAAGGGGCTTGTTGGGGGGACAACAACACACACTGGAGTGGACTCAAAACAGCTAGGGAGGAGGAAGAGGAGTCCTGACCCCTTTTCCGGTTTAAGGGGGTGAGAACCCCTTGCAGCCCCCACAAAAGAGAGGCTGGGAAGAGAGAAGGAAGGAGATGGAGGGGGCTGAAAGAGAGGGTTTTTTGTGGGAGCCCCAGAGGCACTGCAGTGAGAATTGGAGGAGCTGGGGAAACAGGGCCCAGTAAATGAGAGAGGAATTAACGGGGAGTCCCCCTTCCTGCAGGCCTGGGATGAGGGGAGAAGAACCCGCTTCCCAAAACCGACCCTGCTGAGTTTGCAGCTGCAAAGGACCGGATGATAAAGCCAAGCATTCCAGAGACATCTGGTTTCCCGCTTGGGCCATTCGGCTGCTGAGCGCCTCTCTTCATTTCTCTTAGTCAGTCCTGCTTTTTGGCCTCTGAGCTCAGTGGTGCAGTATTTGGACGGGCAGCACTGCAGGGGGAAGGTGGCATCCATGCCAGGGGCAGGCCACTCTCCTTGCCCATCCTTTTGCACCGGGGGGGGGGGAGCAGCACGGCTGCACCCCTTTTCGCTCTCCGGTGCACGCATGTGCAAACCCAGCATTTTGCCTGTAGGAAGACCCACCACCACCACCTCTCTCTCTCTCCTTGCCTGGCATTCTCACTCACTGACGTTGGGAGTCAGCCTTTGTTGAAAGTAAGGCTTCCGCCGGCTGCCTAAGGAGGAGGGGAACATTTCCTAAACACCCCCCCTCCCCACCCCAGCCTTTGAAATCTGGCCATGTTTCCTATCCTGCTTTGTGTCAGGCCGGAATGTGTAATTCTCTTCTTAAAAACAAAAAAAGGGATTCTATAAATATAACGTCTGGAGTGGGAGGCTTCCATGACTTCTCGGCTGCCCTTTCTCACACATCCAGAGAACTGCTTGTTTTCCTCTTACTCACTCGGTTCCTCGCTTTTCTTATTCAGCATGTTGTCATTGTGTGGGTTAAGATCCAGGGCCTGGGCTGCACCAAACATGGGGGGAGGGATGTTGTGGGGGGGCTTTATATGTATCTGTAGCCAAAGCTGAGCTTGCTCTTCTCATTCAGGTGAAGCAAAGCTTGGGCCTACAGGGACAGCTTCTATGATTGCCGAATGATATCCTGGGACCCCCAGGGGCTACCGGCTCTTCCTCCCTCTGCCGGAGCCAAGCCTGATCTCTTTTTCCCCCTTCTCCAGATTCACTTTCTTAGTCTGGACCCACCCAGATTCCTGTTCCACCATAATTACACAGTGATACTGGTCGATCTTTTCCCAGTCTAATTTTTCAATCGGAGTACATTAGGCTGCATTCGTTGAGACCCAGAATAAGTGCTGGGTGAACCCCCATCCCTGTCTCCTTAGGCATCTTTGATGTAGCCCTGCAGGGTCCTGAACCCACTCCTCATTTTAGTGCCTCCGTGCCCAAGGCATTCCTGAGCCTGGGAGGAGCGGGTTCTCCAGACAAAAGACCAATCTCCCACCATCTGTTACTTCTTGTGTAAGGTCACTGCCCCAGTGGCAACTCCTAGCATCTTTCTTTGATTGTGTGTCAGCAGCAAGGACCAGCTTAATGTCAGGGGGCTATATGATGGCTACCCTGAGCCTTTGACCACAAGGCCTCCTACTCCTCCTCTCATCATTTCTGGAGGATGAAATTATTGAAACCCAAAACTCTTAAGTGGTCATCTCCAGTCAAGAATTTCATTCAACCACCTGTTCTGTTTTTCTACACTCTTGCTTCATAGAAATTAACTCTTGATCAGATTTCTCTTTTCTGTGACCACTTTTGATCCACAGGATGCACACAGAGCGAGGATAGTAACTGTGGGTGTGGGTGTTTTGATCTTCCTATCTTGGGGTGCTGGATAAATCTCATAATAAATGTGCAGAGTGCAATTTGTTTTAGGTAGTTCTAGTCTCTTGTTAGTCTCAACCTTCTATAAGGCTTCCAGTTTCTCATTGTTGAGGGAGTTTCTTGCTTTTTAAAGTTCTTTCTAAAAGCCAGTGTGGCACTGTCTTTCGGCAGCCAGGGAGTGAATTAATGTGTTGTGATTCCCAAATTCTCTTAATTGGTTGAGTGTTTATCAAGCAGCCGGGCGTTCCTTGCCACGGTGTTGAGGAACTAACTTGTTAATAATCACTGAGCTGGAAATAATTGCTTTTCCCCAGGTTGTGCTTTGATTTTTGGCAGATTAATAAAGTCCAGTTGAAGCAGGGCCTGTTCCAAATTTGGTGCAGCTGGAGAGAAGGGAAGGCTATTCACTGCTGAAGGGAAAGCATGACAAAACTAACAAGCCCCTTGTTTTTCCTCGATAAGATCTTAATAAAAATGTCCTTAAAAGCCATCTCTGAAGAATGTCTGAATCCACTTTTAAGCTAAAATATCAGTGTAACGAGATTCAAATGTTACACCAGCAGAGACCAATAAAAATAAATCATTTTCGATACGGGAAGAAATTTCAGCAAAGTTAGAATTTCCTGACCTGCATCCGGAGGAGGTACGAGCTGGTTTTTCTTTGGGGTGTCTGCATTGCATTTATAATGCAATCTGGCACATATTAGGCTGTATGTATATGTAAGAATTAAATACTGGTTGTAACCCCCCCAGATTTGACTTATCTGGCCTTGTAAAATGAAAGCAGTATGAAAACATTTTCGAAAAATAATACTGCTGGCTGGAAAACTTGTTTGATGTTGCTTATACTGAACTAAACTGAATCGGCTCTTCGTCCATGTTTGAAAATACAGAAGTATCATTTGGACCAGTATTGTCCAAAGACTATAAATTATCCATTTCTGAACTCAAGGCAAGAATGTAGTGGATTTTTTCTGAAAGAACTAAAAAGGGCAAGTTATAGAAATCCGCCTGGCTGTTTTTCTTGTCTTGTTCCCATTCTGCATGAGAGAGGTTTCATCACAAGCTTTATCAAAGTCATGAAAAGGGACTTGCCCCAATAGAATGGAGCTTAAGTTGCCAAAAACCACTTCCGGTGATGAATCAGTTCCCGATTACGCCTTGATTCAGCTCCAGGGGTGTTCTGATCTTTGAGAAGAATAAAAGTCTTCATTTGATTGAATGAATGAATGCTCCAGGGATAGTCCTCGACTAATTCCTACTTTTTTAAAAAACTTCCGTGCACTTCTTATTTTTCTGCTAAGGCTGTCGGCTAATCCTACAGTTTTTGCACCAGGGAGCAGATTTCTCCCGCACGGCCTTCAATATCGGGGCTGATCCGTTTAAAAAGAACGAAGCTTAGTTCCTTCCTTCTGATGAAGGGGAGCTACTGCTCAGGCTGCTTTCCCATAAAACGTGTGAGTCAGAAAAGCTGCTCCCAGGCTGATCCTGGCTGGCTTCGGCCTCCTCCCATAAGATGCCATCTTCTTGGGCTTATCTCCAGGGAGGAAAACTATTGCTAAGGAGGGGAAAGGTGATTGCAGATAAGCTCTGAGGTGTTCTCCAAGGATGTGGGAAAGATTGCACAGGTTAGCCTGGTAGATAAGATTGAAGCCCTGCTCGCAAAAGCAGCACTCCAAGGCAGTG